CCAATTGCTCACGCTGTGGAAAGATTCCACTCATTTTAGAATATACAACAACGCAAATTTATCAAAGCTTTAGAATTTCTGCACAAAAACATGAATCCATAACAAGATGTAGTCTGTAGAAACTGGAATGGTGTGTGTACATTGGATCACTAAGCAGATGATTATGTCAGCAACAATGGCTGATTGAAGCTTAGGTGGGAATAACTGATAGGAACTTATTTTGGTCTTATCTATAGCTGAGGCTGGATTTATCAGGGGTGACAGTCCATCTGACCTTGGAAAAGAAAACAGAAAGCTGTCAGAGATGATGTTAGAAATGAGTCAGCTCCTACAAAGTACAGAGATGATAACCATCATGACATACCAAATTTCTCTTCTGAAGTACACAGACACTTGTAGCAGAAATGCTGAGTCACAGCCTGAAGCAGTGATTGAGCACCTGGAGGGAAGGCAGGGCCAACCCAGGGGAGCTCAGGTGCATGCAGTGCTGCTGAGTGACTAGAAGGGGTGGAGGTAGGATCCATCTCTTCCCAGACCTCATTTTAGGGTTGGCAGTGAAAGAAGTGTATCTTGCTGAAGATCCCTGCCTATCTGAGGCCTTCCAGAGTTAAGAAGTTTTTCTTCCTTTGTTTCTGTGTCTATGACTGTTGTATTTGGGTTTGTCTTCTTTTGCTGTAGCCTAGGACTTTGCCATCCTACTCTTATTGCTGTACTTTCCATCACACTATAGCACTGCAACATGAAAGGCAACTCATTTAGTAAACAGATGTTCTTCAGATTAAGATTAAGAAAAGGGAAAAATACAAAACTGTGTGGAAGAAAATAGGACCATGTTCAAGGTGTAAGCATCAATCCATAAGGTGATTTGCCTGTAAGTAATGTTCATGCTGTGAAGAACTAAGAAATTAAATGCCTTTGCACCAGATACAAACACCAGATGAGAAACTGAATGTAAAATCAAGATGTATGTATGAAGGCACTAGACTGAGAAGATTAGCAAAATAATCACAATGTCCATGCAATAAATCCATTTTTTCACTAGATTAAAATGTTGTTGTCACTCACTATTACAACATATGAGTGTAAGGCCTCCAGAAAGCATTTCAACTAAAACTTTGGGTAGTTCATATAAGCCACTTATTTCAGTAAGAGTAGGGGAATTTGTGATCCTAAGGGAAAACAGGAGAACTAGTTTATAAAGCTATCAAGATACACAAGCAAAACAATAAATGATTCAGACTTTTACCACCAAAATATCCTAATATTAATGCAGCTATATTACCGTGTTATTTGTGCATCTGTGAAATAGCTTTCCCTTGTGGAGTAAATCAGATGTCCAGACACATCACCTGCTTTTCAGACTGTCTAATGTGGTAAGAGAAACAAATTAAGGTGATTAATAAAGCTAATAAGAAAGCTGGCCTTCACCATCAAAGCATTAGAGCTCAAAGTTTTAAAAAAAACTATCAGGACAAACAGTGAAACTCTAGACCCAAGCACCCCAAAGAGATCCCTAAAAAGAGCTCAGTCTCCAAATATTCTTCTTGTATTATTCATAATATTCTTTAAGTAGTAATTCATATCCATCCTGGGTCAGCAGCTGAGAATGCCATTTGGGAGCTATTCCACAAGTGGATTAACACTGATATCCTCAAGAGGGCAAACTAAGATGCCTGGCAAAGGTATTTATGCTATATGACACAACTGTGTGGGCATGAAGCTCACGCGGCAGGACCTCTGGTAGATAATGCCTACCAGCACCCACCTACTGGAAGGAGCCAGGAAAGTGCTTGGAAAATGGAAAATGAGAACACTGCAACAGGCTGAAACATCCTTCTTTTGACATGAAGGAAAAACTGGAAATGTTGTAAGCTGTTAATTGGAGAAGCCTTCACTTGTCCCTTGGCAATCTTGAGCAGTGAACACAGTCAACGTCAAGTACAAAGGCAGTTTACTTGGGAACATGTTGGGGCCACCTAGGACAAAAATACCTGTCTCCACAAAATAAGAAGCATCCCCAGCACATTTTGCATGGGCCTTAACTGTTTCCTCACTACCATTGACATGTCTACCTTTAGAAAGTTTATGCTTTGTGTCTGGGAATTTAATCAAATTGCTCCATCCTGCTGCCACAGTTGATCAAATGAGAATGATGAATCTGTGGATAAATTTGGTGTTTCAAAGTCTGCTGAATGTCACTGGAAAAAAAATAAATAAATAAATGAAGTCAAAGAAAACAAATTTTCCTGTCAATTTAAAGAGCTATTCCACGAGGAGTATCCGTAGCATCTTAGTATTGTGCTGCCAGCTCTTTGCACTGCACTCAGCAGTAATCAAAGGAGGACCAAGGGAGGATGAGAGAGCAGTGAGGGCCAGCATCTGCATTGGCTGCAAGGTACATGGGATGGCTTAGGTTGGTAGAAATCATCGGGCTAGAACAGCTCCTACAAGTGCAGCAAGGAGAACCTTTCATTGTCAAGGTTGAAAGTGGGACACAAACGCAGGCTTTGAAGAGAGTGAAACAGGCACCACTGGCAGGACAAGGTAACTCAGACATGGAATGGGCCTCTGTCTGCACGTAGGATCAAGTAAGGGTTGTCATCATTGACAGATGGCACCAGTGACTGGAACTCTGATGGTGGCAGTGACAGAAACACTTCTCTGTGTGGTAGCAGAATAACACATGCAAGAAGCCAGACCTGGTGACTACCCTGCAGCAGCCTCCATCCAAGCACTCCCAGCTCTCACCTTGTGTCAGTGCTTGGCACCAAACAAGAGGCAGCAGCAGCTCATGTGGAGGTGGCTGCTTGCTGGGCACTCCTTTGTGAGGCTGCAAAAAGCTGCTCACAGCTTCAGACCAAGATCTGTTGTCACAGATGATGGCTGAAGAACTCGCATGATTCATCTTTGGTTTTGATTTGAAAGACTACTCTTTCAAACAAGAACTTGCGAATTACATTGAATTAAAATTAATTCAAGGTATTGGATACTGTGACGCTTGGTAGTACACATAATCTCTTTTATAAATACATAAATCTGCTCCTAACAGCAGCCAACGCCAAGTGCTTCTAAGGAGAATACAAAAAAGCATAATCCTTGCTAGTGAAGAACGGTTGTAAGCTGTAAAAAATGGGATCTATCTTTCTAAATGTATGCTAACAAATTTCAGATGGTACACAGATAGAAGGGATAAAGAGCAAATCTTTCTTTGTGTATTATTTCTTTCCTATCTTTTTTTCAGTCTTATCTGTTTGATCTTCATGACGTACTGCAGCAATACCAGCAGTACTTATAACATAAGGATCCAAAGCAACGTGGGAAATGAAGAAGAAATAGCCATCACCAGATCAACTGATATTAATTATACAGTGAATGACAAACGTTTCCTTGCTTCTCTTTTGAAGCTGTCAATTTTTATTCTGTGCCATCCAGGATTTTGGGTAGTTGCAACAAGCACCCCCTGCTCCCTTCTGGATTTCAGAATTTATAGGGTCTATCGGGCTGTTGCTTGTCTTCTCTAAAGTGAACAAGTCCAGCTTTTGTGAATTTTGTGTGCCCTGAGCCCTTTCTCTTTCTGGAAAGGACTGATCTTTCTGCACAGTATTGTAAGCAAAAAAATATGACGCTGTTCTACAACTGGCAGTATCACAGTGCTGTGTGTAGTCCTTCCATTCAAGCTTTCTGCAGTGTAACAGTCTGGGCTGCTTTCTGTTTGATGCATTGCACTTATAGAACTGTCTGTATGGATCTCTCAGTCACTTCCATGAGTTAATTTAGGCCTCTGTGAAATAAGTACTGTATATATATATTACCCTTCTAAATACAAAGGGGGTAGGGAAGGAGAAAAAACGAAGAAGACCAATTCAGAACTCATATTTTATCAAGCTGAGAATCTCAGTAATAATTTAAGCTACATAAACAGTAATGAAAAAAGTCATATGTTGCATCATCCTGTAATTATTACTCACGTTTTTTTGCTACTCTTTCAGCCTTTGCCAGCAGTAGCTCGATATATATGACTCATTGTAGATTTGGGATTTTTTACTTAATATCACACAGCTATCATTGTCTTCCATTACACTTTAAGGTAATATTTAATTAAGTTTTTATCTTTATCAATATGACATAAAAAAATTATTCTCTTTAATAAGGCGGAAATTAGAAGTCAATTCCTAAGACGTCTCATTTTGAAAAGTTCTTTTAAAAGCAGGGGGACTGCCATTTTGGATTAGGTAACAATTCATTTCATGTTTTAGAGCACACAGTAGTTGAGAGTTATTTATTTAGTACGCTCATCCTGGTTTTCCAATGCAGCTCATGTTTTGTTTGTCCTGACTACCAACTCCACCTCTGTTGTAATCCAATATAGAAATAGCTGAGGACCTGATGTTTCCTACCTCCATTTGTATTCCGAGGCTGCAATACCCCCCTCTCCTACTGTCTAACATCTCATTTGAACATGTGGTGCCCTCTCAGAATTGGCTTCATTGCAAAGCCCTGCATGCGATGGTGCCAAACATGCAGGTAGCCCAGCCTCCTTTTCCACGCTTCCCTCGTGCAGTTGATAAGTTCTCAGATGCCAACAGCTTCTGAAATGGTTGAGAGCCATCTCATTTGGAGTGATGCAGTAGTACACTCTTCCTTCTCACCCTTGTCACATCTTGTATGTGAAACATCTAATAAATGAGCAGTGACTCAAAGAGCTCTGTGAAAATACTGAGAGACAGAGTGGGATCTCGTGTACGAGGACTGTCAACAGAGTTACATGATTGAGTGAGATTGAGTGAGAGAGAAAATCTAGTAAAATAACACAGATAAAAGCATGGTTTGCTTGCTATTCACCATGCCTCTGTAGCATCATGGTCTATCTCTAAGCTGTACTTTCTACTACACTGCTGGCTTGCAAAACTTTTAATGGAACAAGTTTTTCTGGCAGAAGAACACTGATTCTTATCTTTAATGAGCAGCCTCTCTATCATTTTGCTTTGGGAAACAGCTTCCTGGTTGTAAACTGCTTGAGAGTGCTGACAACTTCAAAAGCAGCCGGTAGAGATTTTCTTGCAAAGTTCAGGAAGGATCTCAAAAATGCTGAAGGCTGCAGACAATGTTGCTACGAAGCAGGAGGACTCTGCGTCCCAAAATGGAGAAATGACAAGTTGGGATATCAATGACATCAAACTTCCCCAGGTATGTGTCTGCATCTTAGAAATTTACCCAATTCTGATCGGTCTTCTCCACTTCAGAACTCTCTCTTTCATCTATGCCTCATTGCATTGCCTCTTTGTCACCCTGAGCTATAAGATTACGTTTTGCTTGAAGGGCTAGAGAATATCCAGTAAAATGGTCTTTCTATCCTTTTCTGGTCCCGTTACCTAAAAATCATACCCATGTACTCCATGGAAAACCCATGACACCCCACGCCTCAAACCTCATGACGCCTCAATGCCATCTTCAAAGACATCTTAGTATGTATGTGCCATATTCCTCCTGCCAGGCTGTTTTGCCATCCAGCTCTGTCCTTCACCTTCCAACCCAGCCCTCTTACCTGATCTCAGTCTCTTCCATGCTGTCTCACTGCTGCTCGCCCAAAGCCTCCATGTCCCGGGCCACCTCCTTCCCCAAGGTCACCTTCACCTGCATTCAGCCTGGAGGCTTCCTCCATACCTTTCTCTATGCTCTGAAATGAGGGTGCTCAGCAGTTTCTATCTTCAAAGTTCATATTCTTACTGCTATAATGGCTCTCAGTGGCTGGGAACAGCAATTTTAAGTAAAGCTCTAATACCTTTGTTATGATCAACCTTTTCCCTCACAAGCCATCAGAGGGTATGCTTCATGTTTTAAAACTTATTACATTTTACTGTGTTAATTGTAGCAATAAAAGAGTTGTGTAATTAGTTATTTGTCTTATTCTATTTTCCACTGAGATGTTTTGTTCTTTTATTGTTCCTTACAGTATTGCCTCTGGAGTTTCTTTGTTTGCTTTTTCTGCTCGTTCACCAGTGTTGAAAATAAAACCTGACCTTTGGTTTTAGACTTCAAAAAATCACTGTGGAAGACTTCCATGGCACTTTTAGGCCAAAAATCTAGAATGAAAGACCTGCAGATGTGCAAATAGCCTCACTTTGATTCAGTATTTGCTCTTTTTCCAGTGAGCTGAGCTAAATCAAGCCAGATGACTCAGAATAATGCTGCTTTCATGACCTGAAGGGCAAAGCAGAACAGCATGTGTTGTTTTATGTCAGGTACCCCATCTTAGTCCCCTGGAGCAATTCTGCACTAGGCAGAACCCACAGCCCAAGCCTTCTGGCCTGCCCTTCCTGGCTCTCTGGGGCTTGTGAGCAGCCTCATTTTTTCTGCCTTCCCCGTGCCATGCTCTCTGGCAGAGAGAGCTGCCAACCAACACTGCTGCTGCTGTGCTGGAGTGACCCATACTTGGAGAAACCCAGCAGAAGGCCATGCTGGGCTCTTAGACGAGCCCTCCTTTAGCCTAATGTTTTGTCTCTTTTTTGTCTCTTTTCAGGACGTGAGACAGACAGACTGGTTTCAGGAATGGCCAGATTCCTACGTAAAACATATTTACAGCTCAGAGGATAAAAATGCTCAGAGGCACCACAGTAGCTGGGCAATGAGAAACACCAACAACCACAACTCTCGTATCTTAAAGAAATCCTGCCTTGGGGTGGTGGTCTGTGGCAATGACTGCTCTACTTTGGATGGCAGGAAGATCTACCTGAGGCCAGCCATATGTGACAAAGCTAGGCAAAAACAACAGCGTGAGTATGGGCATGGCTGCTCGTTACGTGGCAGCTAATAAGTGAAACCACATAAGCCAAATCAAAATGGAGGATACTCTTTGGGTTACCCAGTCATTCCTGTATTCAAATGCAACTCTTAGAATACTGCACTTCACATTTCTTCATATTGGAGGGCGTTGTGTGTTTGCTTGTTTCCTTTTGGGCTTAATAATCCTTAGAGGTTCCTTCCAACTTGTGATATTCTATGATTGTATGTGTTGGTTTCTTTTTTTCTGATGGAAGATGGTTTGAGATTGATTTGCAGCCTTCTCAGGCCCTGCTGACCTGAGTGTTATTTCATGGGCCCAAGAGTAACTTGGGGAAGTCTTGCAGGAAAGACAGTGCTCATTAACTACAATGGCTGGCAAATAGAGAATAAGTCTTATGAAGAGAGGCTGAGGGAGCTGGGATTGTTCAGTCTGGAGAAGAGGAGGCTCAGGGGAGACCTCATTGTACTCTACGACCTCCTGAAGGGAAGCTGTGGTGAGGAGGGGTTTGGCCAATTCCCCCAGGCAACAAAATGAACCCAATGGAATGGCTGCAAGTTGTACCAGAGGAGGTTTAGGTTGGACATAAGGAAAAACTTTTTCTTCCAGAGAATGGTCAGGCACTGAATGGCTGCCCAGGGAGGTGGTGCAGTTGCCATTCCTGGCAGTGTTCAAGAGGTGTCTGGATGAGGAGCTGCGAGGTATGGTTTAGTGGTGATGGGAGGATGGTTGGGCCAGATGATCTTTTAGGTCATTTCCAACCTTGCGATTCTATAATTCCACGATAGGCCTCATGGCCACGTTGCCAGAGACAAGATGGTACAAATAGAGAAAATGAGCTGGACACACATCCTTCATTTAGGTATTTCAAGCTCTTCTGTATTCCTCAATAGAGCTACTGTTTTTTGAAACCAATGAGCATTTTAGCTAAAGAAAGGTTTTACTCGAGCACTCACTGAGGTCAGAAAGACATCCCATAGAAAAATCCAAAAGAACCATATCTGACATTCCAAGCACTTTCAAGAACTGAAAGAAAAATGCTAAGACCTTTGAAGGTGAAAGCTCTTAGCTGACCATACTAAACGTGGAAATAGTCTTTGCTAGTTATATTTAATAATGAAACAGAATAAATGTAACTATTTGTTTGCTTATGTTTGTGTTTTTTGTTGTTGTTGTTTTGTTTTGTTTTGTTTTTTGCATATTTATTCTCAGTGCAGTTTCTAAGCCCCAAAATAGAAGTGGCAGTCCATCCCTAAGTGAACCATTGTACCAGATGGGATTTACCTGTCTGGCATTACATAGGAAATACTTCCCCTTGTTTTTTCTCCAGGGAAATGCTGTCCAAACTGCAATGGACCCCTGCGACTCCTTTCCTGCCGAGGCCATGGGGGTTACCCAGTCACCAACTTCTGGAGGCATGAAGGCAAGTTCATATTTTTTCAGGTTGGTATAAAATTACCTTAAGTTATGCACATTAAAGATTTTTTTTTTTTTTTTTTAATGTACTGATTAAGGAAATTTTCTTGTTCCAACAAATAAGGGTCATGGAATATGACAACAATGCAGTTGTAAGGTCAAAAATTTTCACAATGAGTGTGCAAGTTCCCAAGCAACCTAATCTAACTGAGGGCATCCCCACTGGAGCAGGAGAATGAGTGAGATTCCCAGTGGTCCTTCCCAATCTAAATTACTCTATGCTTCTATAGTTTCACAGCACTTTTTTTGTTAACGCTCCCACAAGAACCTGTTGATTTTCAAGTATTTTTCACCATATATAGGGAACAAATAATTATCAAAGAATCAGAACTGCCACTTTATATCGGCCTTGCTGGGAACCCTTACATAGACATGATGCTATTCCAAGGGATTATGTATGAAAAACACCATCTCTGCATTATACTCGACCTATACCTGGAAAACAATGCATCCAATGTTTAAATAATTGGAACTGGTTTTGGAAGCCATAGACCTGGTTTGGTACCACACACACTGCATTGCTTTCTAGTCTTCTGAGTCTTTATAGTTCTCTTTCATTTACATGCAGGTTAAATAATACTAAATCTCTGTGGGAGCTAATAGAAATTAATGTTCTGCTAAACACGTCCAAGAAGAATGATGACAGCTGCAGGGACAATGTAGCCAGCTGACCTTGTGGCTTTAATTGGGTCTCCACTGTGGGGAGTCTCCTCTGCATGTCAGTGTGGTATACTGCTTCACGATTTAAGTGAATTTCTGCCCTATCGCACTTCATCAGTGAAGCAGTCATCTGCTTGTTACTTGAGCTCAAATTAAATAAGTCTCATTAAATACAAAGCATTAAAACAGGCCATGTGTATGTTTTTGGCCTCTGCAAAAAAATCCTACTCCCGTAAGATTAATAACAAGACTGTTTGTAAATATTGCAATTCCTTTCTCAAGTCCAAAGGGGCTCATGACCATCCACGTCCAGAAACAAAACTAGAAGCAGAAGCAAGGAGATCCATTCAGAAAGCGCATGCAGCTTTTTCTCCACCTTCTCCAGCACTAATAAAGCTCCAGGAGATCAAGGTAACTTTTGTTATCAACAAATTAAATTGCAGGGCAAGGGACCCATGGTGCAAGACACTTCCTACGAGGAACCTTGTTTTTAGGTGGGAGTGGGTTTTATGTCTCTACATTTCATTCCCCTGTTGTCAGGTACAGAAGGAGCAGGGCTGTCCTGAGTCCACTGCTGGCATTCCCCAGTCCAGAGCCTCTTTTGGGCTGGAGGCAGGGCTGGAGGCAGGGCTGGAGGGCTATCACATCACTATTCACATCATTCTTGGCACAGTTTTTATCCATATAACTCACGCTTGCAAATAATTCTTGGCCTCATTTTATTTAGTGGTATGTACGTAACTTTTTCCTTCTTTAAAAATGCACAAGTTGCCCCTAGAAAATTTTCCTACAAGTATAAGTGCATCTCCAGAAATGAAATAACTTATAAACAAATCTGGGAATAAAGTAATTAGGATTTAGTCAATTCTGTATTGACATCGAAGGAGAATATTAGTAGGTTTTCAATGGATTTAACTTTTAATATGAGAAAATTTAACAAATGAACATAAAAACTGGAACATCTTTTTGATAATAACTGGGCTCACGAGGAATATTTGTGTATGTGTGTGCATACGGAGTGTAGTATTTAATTTCTGAATGCCATAAATACTGTGTAGTATTACCCACATTATATCTCTGTTGTATACTGAGTGTGGTATCTGGACAAAACAAATTGTCATTAACAGGGCAGATCTACAAATCTCTGCCCAAGCAGCTGGGAGTGGAAGCTCTTATGAAAGACAAGCTACAGAGGTCCTATAGACCCCTGTGTGCCTGATGGAGTCAGAAGATAGAGAAGTAAGGCTGCATTTGGTGACTTTCCTTGCAAAGGTTGCGTTACACCCACCTGTATGCCACTCGTCTTTACATGCATTTTGTCATTTGAAGTGCTGGAGGTGGCATATCCTCCCCAGCCCCGCATTAAGGACAGTGCTCATATCCTTTCATCAACAGATAAAAAAGATAAATGGACCAAATGCAGAAGGACTCCTTAAAATACATGAGGGAGGAGGGGAATTCATAGCTCACAAAGTAGTTTACAAGTCAGCAGAAGTTAAACCCATTTAAATGGAATATGAATTTAAAAGTGCAGCTATTTCTACTAGTAATATGCAGCAGGACACTAACAAACAGAACTTAGGTGTGATTCTCATGATGACACACTAACTTGGGATGGGAAAGTTGGAGAACACACAACAGGCTGACAGTGACCTCTTGACACAGGTGAGTGGGAACACAAGAAAATAACCTTCCATGTTAGTATTTAACAAAGACTGAAACAATGATTCTCATAATATTGGTTTAATTCCGTCCTTTTGAGGAGGACACATAAGAAATGAGGAAGATACTTAGGAAATTCTTCATCTAGGAAACGTTATTGAGCCTTGTGGCTTATTTAATTTTATATCTGAGCCTGAATGTCTAAAGAGTTCTAGTCTTTGTCCATCTCTTTCTACAACATCGTCCTGTTGTTTTGAGTCCAAATTTTAGTAGGAGTAGGAACAGATCACAAATGTCTTCAGTATCCAATTATTTAATAAGTACTGAACTATCTGATTAATTAACGGCCTACTCGTCAGCTGGCCTGACTTCATGAAGTCAGAGTGGGACTTGAGAATAACTCATGATATTCTTGTTTGCCATGACCAGTTGTAATTCAATTTCTCACATGCAATTGGTATTGCTGAAGCTGAGAGAAGTCTTCATAGAATATTTGCCTGTAATGTTTTGAGAAGAAACGAGGAGGGAGAGCCATAGAAAATACATGGGCCCAAAATAGAGCAAGTGATATGTAGGATGTTTTTACTATGGCGTCACCTGATTTTTAGCTGAAGATGTGCTGGTCCTAAATTAGGTCACTGGAATTTCTTCTCATGGTAAGGGGAGAGCAGTTGAAAGGAGCTTTTCTACTCTGGCAGTTAACAAGACAGAAAATCACTGTAATTAAATGGACACAAAGGCAGTATTATAAGGAGCAGAGATCTGTAAGTACTAATCAGAAATGATAACCCAGAATGAGTATTCTGGCAGGAATTAAATACTGTACAATTATAATCCAATAATTAAGGTATTTAAAGAAGTTGCAAAATATCCAGGGAAAAAAATGACTCAGAAGAATAATTCCACTGTGCTGCTCCCTCCTCCTATGAGAGGAGTTTATGGCCAAAAAAAAATTTTAGGATAATAAAAATAGTCAGTTAAGAACACTTCAAAACAACCATTTAAAAAATAATATTTTGTATATTTTCCAAGCTCCATAGAAATAATTTCAATTCTGTGGAATCAAATGTTTCAATGCATTCATTTTCAGGTGCTCCTTCAGTATATCCTGATAGCTGTGAACGTGAGATCTAGTGATTCTTTTTGTTTAAAACAGAATTTAGCTGAAAGCCAGTGAGCCAAGCCCAGAACCACGAGCTCAGAGCCCCTGCTAGATTTGCCCCCAATGCCTCTGGCTCTGCTCTAAAAGGAGGTCCTGCTGCTGTGTCTGCTTTATTCTCCGCATTAATTTAATGCCTTTTTTGTATGCACTCACTGCTTTTTGGTTAAAGTTGCTAGTCTGGACCGTGTTGCAATAATCCTCGCCTTGCTTTCCCAAGTCTCTGACAGGTGAGGTGCCCACCCAGAAGGCTTTGCCTTTGATCCTTTCCGAGCCGGACCAGTGTGTGCCACCTCCCAGTTTTGGGGGATGTTTAAGCACAAGCTCCCTGCAGCAGACAGCAGGCTGCTGCGTGGAACAGCCACCATATCCGATGGCAGCGGCGGAGCACGCGGAAGGCCAGGTGCACCCTGCTTACGGTGGCTCGTGCACACGGGCCTGGAGCAGCTCCCTGCACACCCCTCGTGTGCTGCCGGTTACAAAGGGAGGCCACGATCTGCTCAGGCCCAGTGTTGGCCCTCTGGGGGAGGAATCCTGCGAGGGAAGAGCTCCTTCAGCCTACAGCCTCCCTCCTCCATCATACCCTCTGCCTCAGCATGGGCCCGGCCTGCAGGGCTCACACCAGCAGCACCAGCAGCTCCCAGTGCTCTTCAAGGGAAGCTATGGTGACGTGGAAGAAGGAAGGCGCTGCGTGAACCCCAGCTACTGCAACAACTTGTTTTGTAACCTGTACCCATTACGGTGACTGGGTTAATGTTTTCTCTCTAAATGCACCTCCGCCAATGGGCAGCATCTTTGCTTTTAGACGTAAGGAAGGGCTTTTATGCCTGCAGAGCTCTCTCTACTTTTTTTCTTTTCCCTCACTACTTTATTAATCTAACGAAGTCATCATCTCTTCTTACAAACTACCCTCGTTGCTACCATGCAGCTTGGCAGAATTTCATGGCACCAGCCCTATAACCATACCACCTGACCTAGTTTCACGCATTTCTGTACTGAAGGTGCCCCACTATTTTTTCCTGCCAATTTCCATTGGTAACAAATTCTTCAGCATCCTTTCCTGCACATCACCCTGTGTTTTAACCACTTCTGCAATCTATATTTCAGCAGGAGATATCAGTTCCCTAATTTGTTTAAAAAAGTAGGGTGCCAAAAATGAATTTTCTTGCCTGAATTTAGTGGCCAGCTTTGAGAATTTTGGCAAAGGTTTCTTTACCTTTTCTGCCATAATTCAATCTGATTTTACCAATGTTTTTACTCTCCGGACCATGTGTCAGAGGCCACCATCCAACACCACGTAGCAGAAAGCCCCAAAACATGCCCCCACTGCCATCTCTGCAAGGAAGAGCTGAGGGATGCCAAGTCTGGAACCATATTTATGGCTGGTTCCCTCAGCTTCCATGGCTTCACGTGCTGCCAGCCCCTGAGGTCAGACACAGTGCTGGCAGTCTTGACCAGCCCTGCCTGTGGAACAAGCCATGCGCAGGCAAAATGAATTTTTATTGAGATGAGTCTGGGAGAACAGTATTGCAAAACCCATGGCAATAAAAAAAACTTCACAGTACTTCAGACCATGGCATATCTGGTGTCCATCAAAACAGGTTTGGTCTTCTCATGGGAACTTACATCAGCCTTCCAGTACCTGAAGGACTTCTACAGGAAAGTTGGGTGGAGACTTTATATAGTGATACAATGAGGGGAAATGGCTTTATACTGGAAGAGAGTAGATTTAGACTAGTCGTTAGGAAGAAATTCTTTACTGTGAGGGTGGTGAGATGCTGGAAAGAGTTGCCCAGAGAAGTCATGAATGCCCCCTTCCTGGAAGCATTCAAGGCCAGGCTGGATGGGGCTTTGATCAACCTGGTCTAGCGGGAGGGAAGTGTCCGTGCCCAGGGCAGGGGGGTTAGAACTAGACAATCTTTAAGGTCCCTTCCAACACAAACCATTCTATGATTCGTCCCTTTTTTTCTGCTTATTTTCAACTTTTTAGATTCCATCTTTCTTTGTTTATCACTTGGGAATACATCGGTTATAGGAAAACTCTCATTGTGAAGAGTAGAATTTAAAGACATTTACAAGACTGGAACAAATTATATTTATAGAACGTTTCAAAATGTTTGTGAAACAAAGGCTGTGTAGTGAATTTTTTATGTGGAAAAAATCTAAATGTGGATCACAATAGGACAGCCTGTCGTACACAAGGGTCAGTTCACCAAACTTTGCCAATCCCATGCCAATTCCCAAGTCTGTGTGCATTTTAACCTCCTTTGGATCAATGTCTCAAAGAAATGTCGAGGGTATGAACATCCTTCACCTCCAAGACAGTAAAAGGGAAATCGATGAGAGCCATCAGCACAGGTGCTCTGAGAGGTGAGATGCAGGAAGGGCAGGCAGATCCCTTGGGGCTGCATGTCCCATAGCTGACATTCCTCTGTGGCTGCCCAACCAGCCACACCAGCACCAACCCTGCCTGACATATGTCTCGCCTCTCCCCCACAAACCTTTCGTCATGCAGCTCCTGCTCATGATCCCATGCACTCAGGCTTTGGGACTATACCCCAGTTTGGGGAGACAGCTGGCCCCACTGCTATATCCCACTGATTTTCCAAGTTAAATGTGTTTTAGGCTCAGGGATAAAGTGCCTTTTGAAAAGGAGGGAAATGAGACACAGGATGACCATTTGATTTTGCTCAGGTTAAGTAATCACAGAAAGGCCTTCCAGATTTGCATGCTGTCAAGGTCAATTTGACCTTTCCATGTTGTGGCACTGATTTCTGTGCTGGCAGCAGCTCCCTCCTTTTTGGTACAATCACACGTTGGATCAGTATGGTGCCACCTTTATAACCATTTGGCTCAGAATATGAAGACACATGTCCCAGGTGTGGCCTTTGCAAGAAGAGCTTTTCGCAACATATTTAGAATGCGTGAAAAGAAATGTCCGTACCTCTCTGCTGTAACCCTCTCTTAAGCATTTGTAAGGTATTGTGCCCAGCTGTGAGCATTGACAGAAATCAGAGGTGAAAGACAGTACTGGGTACATTTTATCCTGCAATTTGAAGAAAATACCAGGAACACAGAAACAGTTGTACTGGCTTTGTGAATATCACTGCATGGCATGGATGAACTACACTCACTGCTTTCCCAAGGACCCAGCTCTGGAAGCCCTGCCTTCAATATTCGTTGGAAGTAGTCCCAGTGCTTGCTTCTAAGCAGATACTTTGATCCATGATGGCTCATCAGAGACACTGCAGAAAAGTTACTCAGAATCATAACACAGCCAAGCTATGTCTCACAAAAATATAGTATTGCTAGTGTTTTTGTTTTTTGGTTGTTTGTCTTTGGTTTTGGGTAGTTTTTTGTTTTTGTGGGGTTTTTTAATCAGGCAGAATTTAAAGATGAAATATAGGCATATAATCAGATAAAGATATAAGGCAGCAACCAGACACTTCCAATTTTTAATGCTGTTATCTTGAGAATATCATTGTAAGGAAGAGAAATGCTTCTGTATCAGTCACACTAACAAGGAAATGGGAATGCCAAAGAGGGATTTGACCTACACAGTTTCTTTCAGCCTTCTCTAACTTTGCAAGTGAAAAAAGTTACAGTAAGAATGCAATCAGACATTTTCATTTTTAACCACTGATGCAAAATCTCCTCTTTCTATTGTCAGACTGAGGCTATACTGCATGCAAGATAATGGGCTGCTTTCTAAAATACACTCCTAAAAGCTTTCTCTCTGATTTTAAACAAAACAAGTGCGGAGTAAGTTCTGGGGGATACAATCCAAGTAATTTTATCAATGATTTTCTTTCTTCTTGGCCTCTGTGAGGTGTACTACCCTGTGCATCTGGTACTCATAGAAATTTTGCTGTGCTTCTCCTTGATGTCATCATTGGAGGCTTTTTAGATAGTTATGACCAAGGAGTTAGAATGCAACCACATAATCTTTTACTTTATTGCAAACAAAATGCAGAAGTGGCTCCATGGTGGGACACAGCGGGGGGACAGGAAAGGTGGAGGAAGATGAGAAGGTGGTGCAGTGTATTTGAGAGGAGGAAGTGAAGGAACTCTGATGATATCCGATTATAAATAGAAGCAATCAGCAATCAAAGCAGAGCATGAGTAGGATATTAATGCTGCACATCCAAATACCCTAAACAGTTTGAAACTGGCTCTTGTGCAATGTCCTGCTTCAACACAGTGCCTCCTTCTCGCAGAGCTGCTGTAATCCCCAGGCTCCAGGGGGTTTTGTCTTCCACAGGGTAAATTTCAACACTGCTCATCTTCAGATGCAAGGAAGCATTGCCGTCAGTGCAGGATGACAAGTCTATGAGTCCTGGCAGGACGCTCCCAAGGGTCCTGGTGACCATCGAGTTGAACATAAGATATCAATGCATCCACGTGGCCAAAAAGGCAATATTCAAAGGCCACGTGGACAAGTTCCTGGGCCCACTTCTCTGTGTGTCCCTTAAGTAGAAGTTGGACACGGGATGTCAAGAGATCCCTTCCAACTTCAGCCATTCTGTGATTTCAGGAACATTTAATATCTGATGTAGCTCTTCAGGCAGTTACTGTCTCCTCATTGAGTGCTTGAGTTTTGTGAGCTATGGGATGACCTCCTGGATGGCAAGCAGTTCCCAAGGCACAGACAGGCCTTCAGAAAACGGGACAAGCCAGGAAGGCCTTTGACCAGCTTTTCACACTGAGTTCACTCCTGCTGTTTCAAGTCACTAAACAAAGAGCCAAATCTGGCTGGGAGGGCTTGTCTCTGGTTAGAGTGTTCTTCATTTCTCAAAATCAGTAATGCCACGATTTGAACTGCAGCTCTTCACATCATTCAGCAACCGTACCATCAGTGATGTAAGTCTTCTGTCATCAAGCATTGCACTGTTTGCTCTTCTAAAGACAGTCATAAATAATACAAACCACAGTACAAGTGATGTCCTCTTTGCTTGCTGCTTTCTGTGCTTGATGGAAACTGTCAGGCAAAGGCCAGAACCATGAGGCTAGTGAGTAACCATCTCCTTGGTACTTCCACAGGAGATGCTCAATGCTTAGGCCACACACACATATGGCAGCTGTGCCTCACTGCTGTCAGTACACACAGCTGCAACTAAACAAACTTCTGTGGATATTGTAAATACCGTTGTCTTGCAAAGCTGTTTGCCATACTAGTAGATTTCCTCTGCATGTCACAGCAGTGACAGGAAGAGTGTGATATCAAGGAGGACACCCAGCACTTGGCCACTGCCCCCAGCAGAACAGGGCCTCTGGAGGCAGAGATTTTCCCTCAAGGCCAAGTGAAGTGTGTTCTGGTTTTATTTCCATCTTATAGCTCTTTCCTGTAAAACTAATGCTTTCCCAACAAAGATACCCTCGGGTGCCAAGGGACCACTTCACTGTTTCTAATTGGTTCATCACTCTGATGACCTATTCAAGTAAGAAGAAAACCTCATTCAGCAGCAATAAACTTCAAGTTTTTCTAAATAGATACTTTTGAACGCCATCTGTGGGCATTTGCATGAGAACTGTATAACTGGTCAAATTTATTTTGAAGTTGGTCAGCAAGTTCAAGAGTTATTAATGGGAACTGTCAGGCTAAATAAACAGGGAGATGGCTAAATATCAATCTGCATTTACAGGGCTGGGAATCCAAGCATATCTCTTACCAGTTCACTGCAGAGTGAACGCAGCACAGACAATGCTGCTTCTACAAGAGGCTGTCACTGTCCAGATAAACTATGTAACATGGTCTTTTTTCCAATAAAGTAGTCCCTCCATTTCCATGATAACTATAGTCTTTCCAACTCCTATTCTATTTTAGTGCTGTTGATAGCTAAGCACAGACTTACATCAAGGGAGCAAAAAAGCCTGTAACTGAAATCCTTGCTCAGGTTGTTTTCCAGAAACACTACCATCCCAGCACTGCAAATGGCAAAGTGGCATTAGAAGCGAGAGTCAGTAGAAGTAGTTCTTCTGAGAAACTCTTATCAAGGAAATGAATGTAATTTTTAAGCTACAGTTGTGATCCAGAAAGTCCTGATTTACTTTATCCTAACAGTGCAGGCTCTTTGCTCGTTGTAGGAACAGAGCTGTAGGAATTTGAAACTACCCCCACCAAACTCACTGTTCCTGCACACAATCAGCAGCAGCTGCATGACCACAGCTTAACTCTCCTTCAGATTCCAAGACAAAAGTTATTTTGTGTCTGGATCTTGTCTACTGAAAGAGTCAAGCCTGCTTCCAGGCCTGGGCTTCTGGAAAGCTCTGAAGCATAACAAGAGAAAGCTGAGCTCACACACATCTTCCTGAAGGCAAAGATCATCTCCGTCTGCAAAGTGGGTGGCTTGGGCACCGCCCTGAACGTATCCGTAACACAAAGGCTTCTAAAAATAAAAAATAATAAAAAAAGAAGGGTAATCAGAATCACTGCTATGGCACAGCTCAGAGATCACACACCGATCAGCAGTGCATCCCACTGCGATTGCTTTGCTCCAGTGAGGGATGGTAAAAACAGGCTGTGATCCACAATACAATTTGGGTCTCACAAATACCTTTCTAAATTAGGGTCCCTAGAAAGGAAAGAAGAAAAACTTGATTTGGGGCTTTGCAGATACCCAGATAAATTTTCACCTTATCATCAGGTTGCTTTTTGCTGTAGTTTTTCAGGTTCTACAGACCTTGCTTTTTTATGTGGAATTTTTAAGAAGACACAGTCCTTAGAGAGGGAGGAGGCTCCACATGGAAATGCTGGCAACTGCTTTGGTGGCTCTACAAAAGTTGTCACCTCCCCTCCCCACACACGTTTAAGAAGCTCTTTCCACTTCATTGCCATGGGGAAGTGCAGCCGACTTTAATATCTGCACATTTATTTTCCCCAGACTTTACTTTCCAGATCACCATCTGTCTAGACACTGTCAATTACTGATGCGTGAACTCAAGGTGAGTTTAAAGGTACTCAATATTTTCTTTCCCCTGTAATTAAATTTCCAGGCAGTACTGAACCAACCCACTATATTCATATTTGTCATTTCAGGCAGACATCACATTATCCACAAAAATGAAAGACCTTTACGTTGACTTTTACTGAAAATGAAGTGCCGAAGTTTTGGGAAGTACCCTGAATTTCAGAGGCCTTCTGGAAGGTTTCATAACAGGAGCTGTCTTTGCCTTGGGTATCTCCCACCAAAAAAATATGAAATTGGGGCAAGAAGGATCCACTGACATGAGCTGTGCATTAATGCCACATTACATACTGCTGAGAAAAAATGGAAAAGCATTTGAGGAACAATCAGACCAATGATACCCATCCCTATACTAACCCATACAAGGAATGATTCGGCTTTGCTGGGAAAACAATCATTTACATTCTGCTTCAATACAGTTTTCACTAAGTATCTCCCGGTGCAGTCAGACCCTCCTGCACATTACTTAGCGAGCACAGGTCATCAGCCCCCAGAGATGCAGAGGCAGCTCTGCAGGCACTGCTGCAGACAGCAGGCAGCCCAGGACTGAGCATTCAGCCTGCACATCACAACACAGAATCACAGAATCACAGAATCACCTGGGTTGGAAGGGACCTCAAGGATCATGTAGTTCCAACCCCCCTGCCTAGCAGGGCCACCAAACGTACACGTACACATTCAGATTCAGACACAGCGCTGAAGAGGTTTAGTTCTGTCTATAGTTTGATCTCTGATGCTGCTGCCCTAGAAGTTATCATAGCCACTAGCATAGGTCAGATAAGAAAATAACCTAAAGCCCAGCATATGAAAACAGTAACTGATTATTACTCGCATATCTGTTTCTCAAATTTCCCTCATATTATGCTGAGATTTGGGCCTTTCCCTGTACAGTGAGGCCCTGAATCCCAGCACTCCCAAGCTGTCTGCTCCCTGTTCTTTGAAACCAGTCTATTTGTGTGATCACAGTTGAAGTTAGTTAGGAGGTAAGGATACTGGATTTTAGGGAAAAGATGAGAACGAGGTCCAGTATTTTGTGTTTGTTTTTTAAAAACTGCAACTGCTAGCTGTATCAGAGATGCTAGCACCTCTGTAAGCATACATTAATAACCAAGTAAACCTGGTTTTTTAACAACAGAGGAAGGAGCTTCCTGCATTCCTCTGGCAGTGAGACAGCCCACAGCACCATCTTTAAAAACATGAGACAGGATTGGTGCCTTTTGCTTCTGAACAGAGCAGGTGGTGAAGCCTAAAGTCTCCCCCCATGAGAGGGGGAGGTGCTGTGCTGAGGGTATACACACTCCTGCATGCGTTTCATGGGATCAGCTCTCTCCTGTTCCGTTCATGTATGATCATTAAAGTTGGAAAAGACCTCTAAGATCATTTAGTCCAACATCCTGGCCTGTGCATGACTGTTTTATAGTGTTTCTGTGGGGACATTCTGCCTTCCTTGTAAGAGCTGTTGTACAACACGCAGGTTTGTTACGCACGCCTTGGGGCAGAATGACCAACCCCTCATCTAAAAGCATGTCTGACTGAGCTAAGGAGTCAAGGTCCCCAGCTAGGAAAGTGGGGCTCTGAACAGACACAGAGCACATAGGGATGGAGACTATGATCCCTGCTTTGGAAGTATATGCTCTTCTAGTGGCTGTGTTGAAACTGCATTTCTCTACAGCACTCCATCTTTCATTGCATCAGAGTGTTCCCATTTAGCATGCTAGCTGCCTTGGATCTCATTTGGAAGCTGTTCTCCCGGTCGCTGGGAAGCAAACTTGGGCCTTAAAATTCCACTCAGATTCAGACACTTAGAAGAAGCCCATTGAAGAGCAAGCTTTCCTGTTTCCCATTCCATTGTTTTATCATGGGCACCTGACTGGCAGGAACTTAAGGAGCTGAATGCCCAGTGGTCTAAACCTACAGCTTGATGCATTTTTTGTTTTCTTTTCCCTGAAATGCTCTCGACTTCTGAAAAAGCTATAAGGGAAAATAAATATAAATATTATTCAGCACAAATGGAAACTCTTGACTGTGGTATGCCACCTAATGGCAAAACAGCATCATTCTCCTGCACGTGTACTAGTAAATACAGATTAGAAAGCTGCATCCCAAAGCTTATCTTGCTTACTAAGCTTCAACAACCCGCAGAGTACCACTGCTCTGGGGGCAAGAAAACAACAACAGTAAAAAACAAAACAAAACACAAAACCAAAACAATAAAATTCCTTTGCAAAAACAAACAAAATCAGGCAGAATTTTCATTCATACAGAAAAAGAACATATGAAGAAATGTCTACTTATCTTGGCTTTCCACACTGAGGAGTGATTTAATTTGATGGAATTTACAAGTCTTAATTCTCTTAGTGCTGCAACTTACCCAGCTACTCCTCACAGAACATTCCAATGCTAAGTTAGCAGATGTGATACGTAGTCAGAAAACACCAGAATGCATGCAGTTGTGAAGCAGGAAAGCTGTCCATCCTGAGTTACGTAGAAACATTATCTAAGTTGCATCTCATGTCTTTTGTCTACCTATACACCAGGGTGCGTGTTTCACAAAAACAACTGTAATTTCAGTCTGCTTCTTACTGCCTTGAACAATGGTCACACAGCAGCACCTGGACCCCTTCTAGTGGGATACATCCCCAGAGCTCAGATATGTTTCAGTTAAGGGAAGGTGCCATTTTATGCATCTCCAAAGTTTCCATTCAGTAACAGGATCTAGCTTCTTTTCCAAATCCAACACCATCAAGGCCTTGAGGTTTTAAACACTATTTTAAGGACTCAGGAGATACTCTGGGGAAAAAAAAAAATAGATGTAGGGCAATGTGTTAATTTGTTTCTTTCAAGCAAACCATTACACAAGTCATGTTACCAAGAAAGCTTCCTTCTCATCATCGCATAAAGTACAGAGCTTGACTCTAGACTGAATGATTATCAGATGGAACCTTTAGTATTTGTAATGGGGGAAAACCAAAGTAATACGTGCAAAAGTGCATTTCTGCAATCCAGACTGTTCTGAAGATGTACTTAAGCCTTTACATTATTTCCTTCCTTTAAAGAAAAACCTCATATGCCTATGAAATTCTGCCTGGGTTGGCTCAAGCCTACTGAGAAGATCAGGAGCTGAGCATCTGGAAATGTCTACAGCTGTCATTTGCTTCGAGCAGAGTCAGTCTCTAGTTCTCTCCATTTACAGGCCAACATTAGCACCTGTTGACTGTGTGTGTTATCTCTGATTAGACCGAGTCAAATTAGCATAACATTTGGTCACCTGAGCATCTGCTCTTCTCTTATAAATGGAAGGAGGGCTTTAAGTCAACATGTTCCAACAACAGCAATGAAAAAAAACCTCTTGGGAAAAAGGACTGCATAAGTATATATATGCACACACCTGATTCTTTTATTTAAGTAATTATGAGTATAAATAGCTGAGGACAACTTGCCAGCAGTAAACCAGTTATACCAACCAGTTTCTTTCTGTAGTAAATAAAAGGACAATAAAAGTCAGTTATAAAGACAGCTCCACTAGCTTTGCCTTTGACTACTGACTTTGCCAAAGCCTTTGACTATTAAAAATTCCTACATGGAATGAAGAAATAAGTTCTCACCTACTTCTTTGCTGAAAATAGTACTATTTTAAGAGTGGCACATGAACAGACAGTAGTAGCGCCTGCTGACAGGAAACCATTTCAAGAGACAAAATAGCTTGACTTTGTCATATTTCTAAACATAAAAGAAGCAGCATATTAGTCATAGCTAGGTCTCAACAGGAGGCTCACATAACTTTCTTGGAGAATAAGTATTTCACATAACCTTAATCATTGCCTGATGCCTTCGTTAAATCTACACCTCAATTTATAACAATCTCAACTTACAGCAGGTTACCAGGCAGTTTTTCTTTTGTGCCTGGTTTCCTGTCAGCAGGCGCTACTACTGTCTGTTCATGTGCCACTATTAAAACAGTACTGGTTTCAGCAAAGAAGTAGGTGATAGTAGTGTATTTCAAAGTTATGGCCAAGGTAGGAAAAGAAAAAACAACAAAAAACAAACAAACAAACAAACAAGACCCAACAACAACAACACCAGAAGCTCAGAAGTCTCGGTATAGAAAGGGCTTCGAACTGAAAGGACAGCTCAATTACATTGAATTTGATTACTGATTAATAATCAGTACCATTTATGGTTCTTAGCAGAAAAGTTTTTGACATTTCTCAGCAGGAAGAATCTGACCTTTATCATCGTCAGTAAAAGTGGAACTAACACCTCTTCCTGATCACAAACTTGTCATCAATATTTTGTTACTTATCTTCAAAACACAAGGCTGACATTCTAAGCAAACATCAATTCAACAATGAGAATATAATACACTAAATTGTTCTGTTGTATGAAGTAATAGTGCAACTGCAGCCTTATAGCCCAAGGGCACGAGCTGAACAAGGGTTGTAGGCAAAGTCTTACTAGACAAGCAAGAAAAAGTTTTAGTTATAAGCACCCTTTATCCAGAACTCAAGTATCTGACAGCACCTCTGCAAGTAATTTACGCATGGTAACTCCTAACTAATCATTTACTGTATGAAAATAATGACTTCTTGACAAAATAAGAAATTGCAAGGGACTGTGTGTTCAAAATCATGTTTTATTGATGTATTTTAATTGTGTAACTCCTTGCAAAGATACACTTTATAAATTATGGAACAAGAATAGTTCTTCCCACAGCTCTTTCACACATTAGTCTGAGTCCAGGTTAGTACTTTGAAATGAGATGTTCAAAGGTAAATTATGCAGGATGGCTTAAAAAAAACTACACTAAAAAGCTTCAATTCTTTCAGAATCCAAGACACATATGATAATAAGCAGTATAACAGTGTCTGCACTACACCCCCAAGCAATATATGCAGGAGAAGCAGCATACAGTACCTGCGCCAAATCTCAAGGTACACTTCATGATTAGCAGTACACAGCACCTGAACATCTACAGCAGCCTCAAAGTTTATCTTAGTACAACAAATGCTCAAAGGATTTACAGCATCTGTAGCAAGGTTAGATGAAGGATTATAACACATTAGAAACACGTTCAAGCGAGCTCTGCCTGCTGTGCAATCAGACCCTGCCAATGCACAAGCAGCACACACAAGCATTTCACCATTGCTCTGTGACAATCCCCAAGCAGAGCCACGTACCCTGCCAACTCATCCTACTACTCACTGCCCACATCTCTCTCCTTTTTATGCCCACTTATTGAGAAGGCAGGCTCTACCAACTCGTATCAAGATCAAATTACTTTTATCAACTGGCATCCCTGCATTGGCGGGGATGTACCTCTGCATTTAAATGCTATACTTCATGACTGCCTGCCCTTGATTGCTTATTCTTAAGGTTGATGTTGACATAAAGCCAGATCTTGAAGGCAAACAAAATCAATTTAATTTGAAGAGAATGTTTATTTGAAATTATTTTAAGTCACACAGTTTAACAAATGTAAGAACAACTTTCTTCCATTCATGTTTCAAGCCTTCACCCAAGACCACAAACACTGTCCCATGGACAATGAGAATTTCCTATGGCAATTCTTTTTGAACAAACCAATGTCCAGGGAGATGAAGACTCACATTTTAAGCAGACTGATTTATAAAATCTGTTTAAAAAAAATAAAAACTTTGTTACCAAATTCTTGTCACAAAGTAAAGGTGTTTAACACTGAGAAGCTTTATCTCAGAACAAAACCCCAGCTAGTCAGAACCAAGGAGAACAATAACGCCCTCAAAAAAAAAAAAAACAACCCTGGAATTTTAAAATGCTCCAAATATATACACATTTATAACTTAAGTGCTGGTTGGCTACAACCTTTTATTCATGCATGATCTGTGAGAGGACAAGGTGTTTCTTAGAGCGGCTTTTCTGAAAATGCAGTGTAACTCTTCACTCGTGCAAAGAACAAAGGGGTGTACATTTTGTCAATGTCAAAAGTAGTAACTGCTGTCTCACCGGTCGACCTGCAAAGAGCACAGTAAAAGTTAAATTAGACAACAGTTGCTACTTAAATCTGTTATGCAGTCATGATCCACAGGACAGCGTGTGCAGCAAACTGCAATTGGAATGTAAGCATCTTGCACACCATCTCATTCTGAAACCAAACTAATGTTGACTAGACCACACCACACAGAACACTCTTCTATGCAAGCAAACTTTAATAACAGGGAAATCACCTTCTTCTTTCTGCTATTATTACTTGTTCTGAAACTTGACATAGTGCAGGATATCACTGAGGCCACTGTATCTTAGAATCATAGAATCATAGAATCACCAAGGTTGGAAAAGACCTAAAAGATCACCCAGTCCAACCGTTCACCTATTCCCAATAGCTCCTACTAAACCATGTCCCTCAACACAACATCCAGCCTTTCCTTGAACACCCCCAGGGTCGGTGACTCCACCACCTCCCTGGGCAGTCCATTCCAGTGCCTGACCACCCTTTCTGAAAAATCTTGAAGTAAAACATCCACTTTCGTTTCAGTTTGAACCATGAATTCAAAATACAGCCAAGTTTTTGCTCTCACTTTGTATGTTTACAACAGAAGAACAACCAACCACAAAAACCCACAACTATTTCTGAACACTAGTAACAGGAAGTACATGTCCTCCTAGCTTTGCTTCATACTCATCTCATTCCAGTTTTAAAAGGACACCAACACACTAACAGGTAAAGCAGAATTTGAACAAGACTCTGTATCACCCATGTGCAGAGACTCTCATAATGGTATCTTCTAAAGCATTTCTACACATTCACGAAGGAAAAGAAGATCTTAATAAATATTTGTTTTCTACACCTTTTTTACTGACATCATACTGAAGTCACTCAACCCTGACTCAAACCTGACATCTTTCCAACACTGCATAAATCCTTTAAATGACTAAACTACTGCAGTTCCACTACTTGGTATACTTCCCACACCATTAGAAAAAAAGTTACTAAAATCTTGGGATTTCTTCAAGTAAAGTTCATTATAGTTTATCAATTCAAGACCAGTTACTCTTCCCAGAACATTTTATTAAAGCCTCATCAAATTCCAGTCACATTAATTTCTACAATTAAGTATCCCTCCTTGGACTTATTCTGTATTTACTTACTTGTAAGTTATGTGACAAGAATGATGTATCCAAACAAGTTTGTTGAATGTCTGGCGTCCACTGGAGCACAACTGAAGTCCTACATGAAAACTATGCTCTGTCTCTTGTACTGGAACACGACGGAAATATCTGTATTTGTGGTAGTCAACAGGTTTCTGTGCAAAGAAAAAGAGATTTGTGATGCAGAAAGAACACAAGGTGCAACTATTTATCATTGGGACTAAATAAGTATGATACCAGACTGTTAAACCCTCAAAAGTAGGTGCTGGTTTTCCTTGAAAATGCATCAATTTAGATGCTGATTATAGAAGAAGTTTTCACAGAAAGGTAAGGATGGAGGACGTCACCCAATTACACAAACTCATTGTAAAGTATGGTAACACTTCTAACTAATTTAGTTCTGTTTAAAGATATGGAATATAAACACAGTCAAAAACTGATTTCAGAAAGCGACACCTTCCACCCTTCCTTCCTGTTTGTTAAAGCTACCTAACAGAAACACCAGCAGTAACTAAGCCTAAGGGGGAAGAACCACTGCTGAATGTGAACCAAGTCTTTATCTGTCTCAATAACAATTACTACAGATCTAAAAAGGCAGGATGAATCTCCACAGTTAGTCGTCTTTATTTTTAAAACATTTTCAACATGAAATTTATTTTTCAACTCTTTTTTGCATTTGTAATGGTGCCTTAAAATACTTCAGGTGTCTTAAAATATCCAGATTGAGAAAAACCTTACTAAAAAGCCCTCTCAAATTATTTTTTCTTTAATCTGTTTAGGAACCTACCTCTTCTTTTTTCTTCATTATTACAGCAAATACTTTGGTTTGATTGTCCGTTTCCTGGGAAAGGCGATAATGACCAAGCAAGATTGCATCCATTCTGGAAGGTTAAGAGGAAGATAGCATCAAGGACAAAGATGTTTGCTGCCCAAATGCCTTCAACTTATAACACAAATATCAGAAAGAAGAATGTATATCATAATCAAAGAAACATATAATTATTTGCATTCAATAAATACCGAGCTCACTGATGTTAGGAAATGATGAAAACATTCTGGAAAAATGCTTTTAAATTTTCATACTTAGAACTGACCAACTGATCTTTACTGTTCCGTCTTGTGTACTGTTAAATATTTTCAGATTTCTGGTGAACAGCTCAAGCCTGTTCTGAAGTCCCAAACAACTATCTGTATTTTTTAAAAATTCATGCAAACATCAACAAGAAATTGAGCAATAGTTCAGTCAAATCCCACCAGAGCCTTTCCTTTCCTCCATACAGTCAGGGAAGTGCAAGAAAGCAAGTGATAACTAAATAGTAGCTTCAAAAGCAGGTATGTTGTTAGATTGGTGATTTCAGTACTCTTCTGTCTACTTCCTTTCTAAGTTTAAAATCAAATAGTCTGAAAGGAAATCTAAACACAATACCAGGAGTTCAAAATGAAAGATATCTTGGCATGAAGATCAAAACTTCTTGCAGTTCTCAGTCGCTCCCATACAACAAGAACATTGTTACAGTTTTATCCTCATTTTGCTAAGCACAAATACAGAATTAGAGAAAAAAGCAAACAGAAATTGCCAGGTAAAAAGCAAAGAGGAAAGTACAAATCAGTATTCTATTTCGCTAACCTTGTATTTTTAGTCCGTAGGCGAGGAACAATAGATTGCGGATCTTCAGGCGTCGTAAGCATCATAACTTGGCCATCTGGAAAGAATCTCAAGTACCTGAGAAAATAAAATCACACAATATAAACATACGTTTATTTTAAATCACAG